AATTGGTCTGCTTTTTTCACATTTGCAATCATACGAACCCTAAGATACTTTTATTTTAAAGAGTTTAATAAATTTTAAGAGTTATGTGTACATCAAGCAATGTTTTAAAAGACATAATGCGTGGCAATGCGTAGAAGCTAAGCTATAGGCTAGGCGAGATGTAGGTAATAAAAAAAACGTAAAAAGACGTTTTTTTTTATATTAATTTTTAATCAATCAAAAAATCGTTTATCTACCAAACATCTAAACACAAATTTATAAGAAATTTATACTTTTTCCAAAGTTTTAAACAAAAAGATGAATTGCAATTGTAAATATTAAATAGTAAATAAATAGAAATTTTTGGGAGATTTCCTTTGTTCTAGGTTTCAAGCAACTATTTTGAATTTATAACCGACAAAGTGAAGAAATCAACATTTAAGTTTTAACTTAGAAGAATTGTAAAAAAAAATTAATTTTTTTTTAAAAAAAAAGGATAATTATGCATTCCTAGGTCCAGTTGTGCACCTAGGCGCGCATTAACGATCAACGATTGCTCACTGTTGATCCCTAAATAAAGTGCCCAGCCACTTGACTGGGCGTTTTCGTCACGCACCGCAAATTGGTGATGTCTAAATGCTGCCAATGCGCTCCTTTTAGAATAGTGACGTCAAGTAAGTATAATAAAATTAATCATCAATATAATTAGAATTATGGTACAAGTCAATTTTGTTATAATTTTGATAAAAACTAAATCAAATCGACTATTAACGAGAATTATACGCGAAACTTGTGTCATTCCTTGTTTGTATTCAAATATTGGTAAAAAATAAATTATTGAGTAATTTTGTGGGCGAAAAAGGTGTAAAAAGGACGATCAATTATATTTTGATCATCGATAGTGCCGGTCTAGATGGCAAAAGACGTAATTAATGTGAATTTGTGCTAAATTGCGCAACTAATGCTGACACGTACTAAACCGTGTACCTTTTATTTATTTATTTATTTTTCAATATTTTTAAAGTTAAATGAATAAATAAAAAAATTAAAAAGGAAAATTTATTATGCCTAAGTTTCACCTAGGCACGTCTACTTTGGTCTTGTCGCCTCATCATGCCTTGTGCATTTTAAATCTTGATAATACACTTATAATCTAAATGATTGATTTAATTGAGAAAATATAGAAAAAAAATTAATTAATCAAATAAAAATGGACTCTATTATAAAAATTACATGCAATTAGTTTTTTTTCCTTTCAAATTAAACCAAATGACCGGATTAATCGTTCTAGAAAAAATACGCATCATGAATAGAGTATTTGTGGAGAAATTGTGATGATGGATAGACTAGAGTAGTATAAACCTCTCAAATTCAATATTAATCGGTGCAGCCTGCGAATTTCAAAGTCAATACAAAGCAACAATAAAATTTCTATTTACTTTAAAAAATGAAAAGCCATAAAAAAAAATAATAAATAAAAGAAAGAAAGAAAAGAAAAAGAAGAAGAAGCAAATATTGGGATAATTGCAGACACGCTCAAAACCTTTCACTTATTTGCAATTTTTACCTCAACCTTTCATTTGTTGCAACTATAGTTTCAAACCTTTCAATTGTGTACTGCAGAAGGACAAATGGATAAAATTCATCCATATTTTCATTTGTTGATCAAGAAATTAAGTTTGACCATATTTTTACAGAGGGTAAAATATTAACTTTCTATTTACCACATAAACAATTAGAATAGTTAAATAAAAAAGAAAAATAAAATAAATGTTATCTTCTTTACCCAACCGCCTCAACCCCACCCCAATCCCAAAGCACCCCAAATCAAAAACAAAATTCAAATTTGTAGCCACATTGTCATCGACACCACTACTCCCTCTACCCCTCACTCACCTCCTTAAATACATTATTATTCCTCAACCTACAAGAATTTCTAAAATATAGAAAAAGAATTCCTGAAATTTTACTCATATTAATCTAATCATTTGCCCTCATATTCATCTTCTTTGTTATCATTTGGATATTTGATCGACAAAATTAAATGATCTCTTGGCTTCGCTATCTCAACAAAATTTTAAAATGTATTCTCTGCAATTTTCACATTTTCTTTGTCATTGGTGAGTTCGTGTTTCAATTTCTCATTTTTTTTTCGAAAAAAATGAACTCTAGTGGTTTTAATTGGCTTTCAATATTGCAATCGCTTAATAAAATGACCGTGATTCTTGATTCATCCGTGTGATTTTTTATTATGATTTAAGCCTCCATAAATGTGATATCTTGAATTGGGATGAGGGGCGGGTGATATATTGAATGTGATATCTTGAAAATATGCTAAATATCTTGATTGTTTTAAGAGGTGAGTGAGGGGTGGATTGCGTAGTAGCGTAGATGATGTGCGGTGGTTCCGACGACTTGCGATAGCAATGATGGCGAGTGGTTGATTTTGGTTTTGAATTGGGAAGATAAGAGTTCGTTTGGTTTGCCATTTTCTGTTTTTAATATTCAAAAATGCCCAAAACGTATTTGGTTTGTCATTTTCGAAAATATATTTTCGAAAACAATGAAACATTTATAACTGAAAACTCAAAATGATTTTTTTCGTTTTGAGTGTCTTCAGATAAAAAACTTAAAAAGCGAAAAACGCTCAAAAACACGCCTTTTTTTACCCAATGGATGCTCAGCAGTACTTTTAAAATAAAATGTTGTAATCTGATACAATTTAGTGAAACATAATAATTTTAAAACCCACAAAAACATTTTTCAATTTCCATTAATTTTTTTTTCGTTCATCAAAATTTGGAAGAACTATTATTTCCTGTTTTTACTGTCTAAGTGACAGCAAAATACATTCAGAAGGATGAAGGACGAACTAACTATTTTCTTTGCAACAATTCCTAATTTTGGTCTATAAATTTATTATTTTATTTTGTAGCAAGAAAAATAGTAAATTCACAAAGTTTAAAATATATATTATCTGATAATATATTAACATAAAACTATTACGTTTGACTAAATAATCAAATTAATTGAATAAATGTCATAAAACAATTTCCAAAAATTTTAAACCAAACGTATTTTCTAGTTTTTCGTTTTGAGAAATCGTTTTTCAAAATGACAAACCAAACATGTGTTTCTATACTCCGAAAATGGTTCCTCAAAATAAAAAACTAAAAATGAATTCAAAACTGAAAATAGAAAACGAAAATGCAAACTAAACGCACCCTAATGTTTTCTTTACTTTCATTTAATTATTTTAATTGTTTAATACGATAAATAGAAAAGTTACTATTTTATCATTTTAAAAATATTTAAAATGTGGTCAAATTTAATTTTCTGATCAACTAAAATATGGTTGGTTCCTATCCATTTGTCCTTCAATTGCACACAATTGAAAGGTTTGGGATTACAGTTAAAAAAATGAAAAGATTGAGGTAAAACCTACAAAGAAGTAAAAGGTTTGGGGCCTTGGCTCAAATTATCCCTCAAATATTTAAAATTCAAACCCCAAAATACAAAACTCGGTCCCCAAATAGACACTTTTCAATCACACCTCAATTGCTATATTGATTCCATCATTTCCTCCTTTGGCGTTCCCACCGAGGCGGCCACACTCACTCAGCGAGGAGAGACAAAGAATAAATCAAATTAAACCGGCCATTTCTCTCATCGGAGTTTGGCTTTGAATTAATCTCCAATTTTTGCTCTTTATATAATTTTTTTCTCCAATTCAAGGTATTTTCTTTGGTTATTTTTAGCTCAATTATATATTTCTTTTGTGTGTTGTGGAATTTGTTAGAGCAGAAATAACATTATTGTTCGATTAATCTGGTCTGATTGCCGATGGTGAGATCTGAAATATGTTTGTGGAAATAGATAGGTGTTTTAACCTTTTGTTTGATTTAAATTGAACGAAAGGGTTAGACTGAGGATTTTTAATTTAGTAGCTTCATCTGATTCCGATCTGCTGTCTTTAATAGAATATTCTGCTCGATCTGTTAGATGTTGTTGCAGATCTGCTATTTCTTGACGTAGATTGCAGTTTACTATGTTAAAAAAAATAAAATATATAACTCTTTTATTTTGAGTTTTGCATATGTAAGTTAATGGTGGTGATCGTTAGTCTGTGGATATATACTCACATTCCATTTAATTTCTATTTCCCGTTCTTATTAAATTGGTTTTTAATTATAAAAAGAGATACGGTGTTATTTCTAAAACGACGTCTCATTTTGAAAAGTGAAAAAAAAAAAATTGATAAAAAGGAAGAAGTGCCTAATATACACGGATTATGTATTTCCTTTTGTGAATAAATTAACATTACTTATATTGCTCGAAAAAGTTTAACAAATTCTAAGTGCTTGTAAATTAAGTGTTAGTACTTAGCATTGCAGTTATAATTTACAATTCAGTCGCCCTTACACTGTTGTTATCAATTGTCATCTTTTTATGTGCAAAATAAATTATGCAGTTCTCTCTCACAGGAAGGTTACATGTAATATGTTATTCCTTTTTCTCCCTCTGTGCAATACATTATGGACCACGAGAACTTATCGTGTCATCTGACATTGTTTCAGTTTGTGCATACCGCAATAGTACATGTACATTCTTTTATCATCTTTTGTTTCTATGTTGCTTTTATGCTGTGTTTCCAGTTTAAAGAAAATGGCCGATGGTGAGGATATTCAGCCCCTTGTTTGTGACAACGGAACTGGAATGGTGAAGGTTCGTAAACATTTTCAAATTCTCTAGTCTTCTGTATTCAATTTATTATGTAATCTGTTTCGAGGAACTTGTTTAATGTTACTCCTGCAGGCTGGTTTTGCCGGTGATGATGCTCCTAGGGCTGTTTTCCCTAGTATTGTGGGTCGCCCTCGACACACAGGTGTTATGGTTGGGATGGGACAGAAGGATGCTTACGTGGGCGATGAAGCTCAATCTAAGAGAGGTATCCTGACCTTAAAATATCCCATCGAGCATGGTATAGTCAGCAATTGGGATGATATGGAGAAGATCTGGCATCACACTTTCTACAACGAGCTTCGTGTTGCTCCTGAGGAGCATCCTGTGCTTCTAACTGAGGCACCACTCAACCCTAAGGCCAACAGAGAGAAGATGACCCAGATCATGTTTGAGACCTTCAATGTTCCTGCCATGTATGTTGCTATCCAGGCTGTTCTTTCTTTATATGCCAGTGGTCGTACAACCGGTGCGTATGTGTTCATGGAACCTAAATTTGTGTATTTCTGTATGTATTTAACATTTCTAATTTAATGCCATGTGAATCTGTATTTAATGAGCAGGTATTGTTCTGGATTCTGGTGATGGTGTGAGTCACACTGTACCCATTTATGAGGGCTATGCCCTGCCTCATGCCATCCTTCGTCTGGATCTTGCTGGTCGTGACCTCACAGACTACCTCATGAAGATCCTCACCGAGAGGGGTTACATGTTTACCACTTCTGCTGAACGGGAAATTGTTCGTGACATGAAGGAGAAGCTTGCTTATGTGGCTCTTGACTATGAGCAGGAAATTGAGACAGCAAAGAGCAGCTCATCTGTTGAAAAGAACTATGAACTGCCTGATGGACAGGTCATTACAATTGGGGCTGAGAGATTCCGTTGCCCAGAAGTCCTCTTCCAACCCTCTTTCATTGGAATGGAATCTTCAGGAATCCATGAGACTACCTACAACTCCATCATGAAGTGTGATGTTGATATCAGGAAGGATCTCTATGGTAACATTGTTCTCAGTGGTGGTTCGACCATGTTCCCAGGAATTGCTGATCGTATGAGCAAGGAAATCACTGCTTTGGCACCCAGCAGCATGAAGATCAAGGTCGTTGCCCCACCAGAGAGAAAATACAGTGTCTGGATTGGAGGATCAATTCTTGCATCCCTCAGCACATTCCAGCAGGTACATTTCAAAATTTTTAATTAATTAATTTATTGTATTTCCATTTAAATCTGCTCCTTTTCTGCAGTAGACGATTTTATGAATTACAATTAAAAACATTGCTTTTGTGCTGAAACAGATGTGGATTTCAAAGGGTGAATACGACGAGTCTGGTCCATCAATTGTCCACAGAAAATGCTTCTAAGATGCTACTCATTTCGTTGATGGTGAGTTTTTCTTTTCCTCATTTGTTTTGTTTTCTTGTTATGTTTCAAGTGAACACAGTTTGTTGATGTGGAGAAGTTTTGAGGTGGGGATTTGAAAGGAAGGGATGGTGTAATTCTGATTTATCCATGTCTCAGCCCATCCAATTCTCATTCTTGTTATTTTACGGATTATGAGAATGTAATGACCTTTCTGCCTCGATGCGCCTTAATTTCTTTGTCACTTTAATAGGTCATTTGTAGTTTGAGTGTTTGTAATATTTCCTGTTATTACTGCACCTGTTCCTTTCTCATGAATATCATATCCGTTTTAGGGAAACAGTTATGTTAATATTAATTGTATGGGAAATTTTTTATTTAGTGTTAATTTGAGAAATTTATTGTCCATCTTCGACTAGAATATTTTGAAATCACATGCGACTGGTAATTCTTTCATTCATAGGTTTTTGTGCAGCCATTAAAAATTTGTTCCAAGTTTTGTATTCATTCAGAGTTTGCATTTTATTATTGGCTTTATGTGCACAATAGGTCATTCTTATACATCTCTCTGGAAATTTTTTTCATGCTCGAGGTTTAAATTACGTTCCTAGTTATCCTTTCGTCCTGTTGGCCTGCTTTGTTAGCGCGTACTTTACATCAAATATGATTTTCGAGTTGTATTGCAAGCCGGCCTGAGAGGGCAATATTCTGTTCAATGTTTTAAAAACCGACCAGAGCATTGACTCGGAAAAGGAAGAGGGTTGAGGTTTAAAGGTTCAAACCGTGGTCGAATTGGTATCAAACTGGATGACAAATTAAATAAATAAATACACAAATAAACTATAAAATATCATAATTATAACATATTCTTAAATTTTAGTTCTCATTCAAAATAAATGTATTCAATATTTATTAATTAGATTTATTATAATAATTTATTTTATAACCTTGAAAACTAATAATAAGTCCAAAATAATTTGCTTTGTTCAAATTGAAAATTATAATCTTGTTGGAATGTATGATTTGTTATTGAAAATGATAAATTAAACTAGGAAATACATAGAATTGACAATTGGCAAGTTTCCCATATTGAGAGATTACCACAACATTGGAAGAATAGTCTCCTTTAAAAAGGAGTTAGTATCTCACGTTAAAAAATTATTAAAACATTAAAAGAATGATGTTCTTTAAAAAGAAGGCAAGGGAGAATCACTTTTATAAAAAGGTTACTTGGGCCTTCAATTACAATGGGTGATCCAAAGTTTTTGTGGAAAAAAAAATCAAAGGAAAAAAAGTATATTTTTGGTATAGTTTTTACATCATTTCAAAAATCAGGTAAATAGTATGAAAATTTAAAATTCAGGTATATTTTTAATTAATTAAAAATATTTATTAAATAAAGATAATAAAATAACAGTTAAACGATTAATAGTCACAGATTTATTTACTGGTTATATATCGTTTAATTAATTAGTCACGGATTATTTCGTAATCACAAATCAAAGATTTTATTGGTCACAGATCATTTAAATTACAGGTCACATTTTTTCTATATGTCATATAGGTCACAAATTATTTTTTACTCACAGATACCTAATTTTTTTTATCACAAATCCGCGAAATAGTTGGTTATAGACAGCAAAATAGTTGGGTCACAGATTTCAAATACCCCCACCACCAATTTCGATCCATCACCACCACTCCATCGCCGCTTGCACCACACCACCGCATCACCAGACCTTATCCCGATCTCATTCCACCACAATACTTGGTCACAAACACTACCCGCCACAACACCACCACCGCCGCCACACGCAAGCCGTCGCCAACACCACCACCAAGTCACGCTGGTTGCAATGTTGTTCTCACCAAACAGGTCACATTATATATATGGGTCACATAGGTTTGGTTATATGCACCAAACACCCAACCTTGATACTGATTCATCACTAATTTTTGGCCACAAATCAGTCAAAGGTGGTCAAGACACCTAAATAGTTGGTCACAGACGCCTAATTGTTAGTCATAGACACCCCATCCATCGCTGCCACCGCAACAACCATTGTAATCACACAGTTCACACCACCACCGATCTACACCACCACTGTAATCACACGGTTCACACCATCACTGTAATCACACCATCACCGATCAACCACACACCAAACTCCAAACCATCGATCGCGGCATCACCAGATCGTGGGTGCCTTGCGCACTACATGTGACCACCACCACCATCACCACCACAAAACCACATCAAAAATTGCCACAAAACACCACACAATCAATCTCCGCCGTCGCACACAGCTACGCTCAGAGCAAACATCGATGAGGCCTCGAACAGTGGTAGCACCACCCCTTGCGAATAGTAGGCAAGGCGCGAACAGGAAAGGCAGCCGCCAAGCAGAGAGTCTGTCTCCAAGCACATACACACCTCCAGCGTGTGTCTCGTCAGAGAAATTTGGATCTGCAGTCCGAGACATGGAGGGGTCACGGGAGAGGAGAGTGAAGAGAGAGAGAGAGAGTAGGGTTTTTTAAAATGGTATTGGATGAGTTTGGAATTGAATTGGGATATGTTGATAATTTTATTATTAATAATTAAATCAATTCCTGAATATTGAATAAAAAACTTTTCCATCTGATTTTTGCACTACGATCTTCAAATATCTGGAATTTTGTAATTTTCCCAAAATGAAATTACCCATAAAAAACGTGGCCGGCTTTCCGGTTCACGGTTAAATCGGCCGGTTTGACTGTTTATTAGTCGGTTTTTTATTTTTCGGTTAGTTTATGAGTACTGACCGGATTAAAGACCGGTTTACGGTTTTCCGGTTGAACTGGCCAGTCCAATCTGGTGTGTACAACATTGATTCTGTTCTCTTTTCCCGAAGATTTCTTCGTTTGTCGTCTACTGACCACTACAGGTTGGTATAATGCCAAATGAAGTAGGTTGGTTTGGTACTTAAAAGGTATTAGTTTCAACTGGGGAATCAACTGGGCTGGAGCTCAAGAGAGCCTTTTTTTGCTTTTTCTTAAATATATAGCCAGTCTAGACAAAGCTGAGGGATTTAGTACCGCATCGTTTCCCAATAGACTTGATTTCTTCATAGTCTGGCGGTGTAGATAATCTTCTCTCAAAAAGAGACCAACCAGAGATGACAAAGGAATGTATTCAATTCAAAAAATGTACGGCAGTCAAGCAAGCTATTAAGCCAACTAACAAAGCCACAAGCTACATGCAGGCTCCTTTCTTAGCTCTACGATTGGGGAGTACGACACCTTCTGATTGAGCCCGTTCGGTCCTTTTCTTTATTAGTCTTTCCCGCTTCCTCTATTTATAAAGTTCCGGAATTACTTTCTTGAAAGGTGGGATCTTGGTGAAAGATCCATCAAACAGCCAAAAAAACATTCGTCTCTGCTTAGTCTCAATTTTTTTTTTTTTTTTTTTTTTAAAGTCATTTTCAGTTACATTTTTCCAGACTTTTTTTTCTACTTTTTAACTATATATTTTTCCAAAATTATTTTTTGCCAAGATTATTCTCAAAATCTCTACTAAACACTGACTGAATAAGTTGAGGTTGACTACCCCACGAGACGTGAGTAATTAGAGTACGTACATTAAATAATTATGGTCTTGGACTCGAAAGGACATGAAAATGCTCATCTTATATGCTCACTTTTTGAATTCATCATTAAAAAGAAAGTAGAAGTAATGACCTGTTTATGATAGCAGATATGTGGAAACATACGAAAAGCGGACAAATTATAGGTGCTCATTCCCGTGCTGTCCTCGTAAATGAAAATTTCGATAATACATAAGGGACAAAAAATTTCACGGGATCCGATTGATTTTTTTTTTTTCTGAAATTTGTCCTGAAATCATTAACAATTTCATGAATGTGCCTGCCTGCCATCTTTTTTCTTAGTGTCTAGTGACTTAATTCTATAATTTATACGACTACACTAGAATTCCCTATCTATATAATTATTTATGTCATCTCAAATTTCTTAAATGATGGTGGATCTATTAATTTTTTTTTAATTTTTTGCAGTACTACGAGTTTATGGATGGAATGCAAAATTTGGTGAAAAGCGATTAGACGTAACTATAGTAGCAAACTTGATACAAAATTTTTCTTGCAAGTGTGTGTTACGCTACTTGCAACAAAACGAGTACAGCAAGATGTTTCAATTTCAGACACGTTATTTTGTGGCCTTTAATCACGGCATTGATCAATGACAAAACTTCATCTAAAAGGTTTTACCCTCGGAGTATTTGATTAAGTTGTTAGGTGGTGTTGGGCCTTCTAAACTTTAAAAGTTAGTTTAAGAGGTGAGGTTGTCCTTCACATTTATAAATTGACTACCAGTTCTTTTTTCATATGGTGTGGGATAATTTCAACAATCTTCTCCTCACACATCGGGCCTTGCGGGAGACCAAACTCGTCTTTCCCTCACATCTGAACCAAAGCAAATTCTTTTCTCTATTGTACACAAACTTGCATCAAACTTGTGATCGATAGGTTTGAGACTTGTTGATAACTTTGATCCTAATACTAGTATTGGGTGGTATTGAGCCTTTTCAACCTCGAAAACTAACTTAAGAAGTAAGGCTTTCTCTCATACTTATAAATTGACTACCGACTCCTTCCACAATTGATGTGGGACAACCTCAACAAAAGCAATTGCATGCCCCATGCAAATACCAAAAACAAGTACTTCTACTATTTCCTTCACCATTTGAACAGCATAAGGAACTGCGCATGGGGTCGTTTGGACAGTGGCAGATTCAAGAATTCAGCTGAGTACGGATGGCCATTTGACGATCGGGAAAAAAAATTTTCCGACGGAGCAAGCACGGTTGGCCACAGGGGCTTGGCAAGTGCTGACTCCACCCTTGCCTTTGGGCCATTGTTAAACATAACTCCAATTGGTTTCCAGTTCTGAGTTTCGGAGGCTGCCCCTGTTGAAGGGTCGGTTAGTAAAATATGCAGAATATTGAAATATATTTGAGAACAAAACATGAAATTAACAAATAGGGACAAGAAGAAAATTTAAATCACTGAAAGAAATATATTAGGATTGCAAACGGAGGCCTATGTATTGCACGAGTAGACTTACGGGCAAATTGATAATGAAATAAGAGAACAAATTCATTACTGTCTATATTTCTGGTTTACTAGTAAATTTCTGGTTTGTTTCCTAGGGTTCCAGTGTCTCACTATATTTGGACGGAGAAGTCAACGGTAAAATTTTCATCTGCGATCACTAACGTTTAGAAGAATTTCAATTTAGTTACTAAAATTTAATTTATCTTAATGGAGTCCTTAATTTCTATTTATTTCCAAATTGTATCACTCCTATTGCTTAATTGATTGTCCCTAAAAATATATATATATATATTAACTGTATTATTTATTCCTTCAAACGTAAAATTTTAATTCAATGTATAGTCTTAACAACAATTTGGTCATGATGTCTAAAATTGATTAAATTTTTTTTTGCTATGGATCCACAAGGCCAAAATCCGTCCACGATAAAAAGGAACTCAAACCTTTGTTTTATAGGTGCTTCTAGGACGGGATCAAGGTGACTATTGTCATTTTGTCCTATTGAAGATTTTTAAGAGGCAGCGTAGACTAAGAAATTCTCATCCATCACTCTATTACTTTTTCATTTATTTTTAATTTTTAACAATTTAAATTGAAATCATAGAAATAAAATAAAATAACATACCCAAATATGGACGGATTCGAGAAATGCCAGGATGTGACTATATTCTTCATCTCCATTACGTTATTATTTTGGATAGGACAATGCGGGATGAATTATAGGGTACATAATTTTGCCATCTCTAATATTGCATTGTCACATGATTTCACAAGTCGAATTTCACGAAATAAAATTTTGCTTTTCCACTTTAACACCTGCCTATGAAATTGAATTTATAGACATTTTTTTAAAGTTCATGACAATGTAATGAAGATTTTGATGACTTATGTTGTTGCAAATGATTGTGAGACTATGTTAAAAACCTCGAAAAAATATCAACATGATCCTCTTGAAAGGCTTAAAATCAACTTAGGACATGTTTGTCATGATTTTGCTTCTTGTAGAATAATTTTTGAATGAAACCACTTTACTTTTTGTTCATAAACTAGTTTTTAGAAGAGTTTCTTACTTCTGAGTAGTTCTAATAATTCAATAATATTATTACTTTAATTCGAAGTAGGAAAGTTGAAGATTCTTTTTTGTATATGATAATCAAAGAGAGTGAGAAAGTTGCAATAATTCAAAAGTGTTTTTAGAGAAAATCGCATTGGACTAATTTTTTCTAAAAAATGGTCTATTTAGAAGAAGCACTTTCATAAAATTAGTCAGACGGATCCATAAACAGCTTTTGAAACTCAAAAGCTCTTTTTGACTTTTCAAAAGTAATGCCAAACAATAACTTATACCAAGTACCAAGACCTTAAGTTTGGGCCCACTCGTGCAATTCCGACCTTCCCGGGGGCAAAAATGAAAAAAGTTCTCCTGATTCACCCCACCTTCATTGCCAGTCAGTCCCGCCCCTAAGTAATGCTTAAAAACCCTAAGCTTGAAACCTAGCATGTGAATGAAGAATTTGCTCTAAATCTGTACAGACTCCTATATATACAGAAATGCTGAGAAGAAGATTAACTTCAGTTTTATCAGCTCCAATCTGCAATGCCTCCAATCAGTTCCAAAAATCCACCTCAATCTTGCCGTCGCGCATATCCCAAAAAACCCCATTGCTGCAATTAATACAATGCCTGCGGGATTCGTCGAACCCGAGTTCCAATGGATATTTTAATTGTCAGAGTACGAGGGCTTACAGCAGCCTATTGGCCTTGAATGATTTGAGGGATAACAAGGGGGCCCGGAAACAGAAGACCCGGAAGGGACGGGGTATCGGCTCGGGCAAGGGAAAGACTGCTGGTCGTGGGCATAAGGGTCAGAAGGCGCGGGGTACTATGAAGTTTGGATTTGAAGGTGGTCAAACTCCTCTCCGTCGTCGCCTTCCTAAACGCGGTTTTAAGAATCCTTTCAGCCTCACTTTTCAGGTACTGTAGTTATGTGTTCGTCTGAGCTGTGGCTCAGTGGTTTCATAGTAGAAATCTTAAATTGATATTGCTTTGTGATTGATATAATTTTTCTGTTCTCTGAATTGTTCATTTCTGTGCTCATATGGATTTGTAAATTTGCTTACTAGAACCACATAAATTTACAATAGTCTGTGTTACATGATAGAACATTTTCAGGTTATATTCCTTTGGCCGTGAATATTTAAACCTACCTTGACTCATGAATTAGTTGCTATAGAGAGAGACTGATCGAAAGATGGAGAGTTATTGACTGATAAAAGTTTCAATTTGAGAAATGGGTTCAGTTATTATTCTTAGCATGAAATATAAATGCCAAACAAGTAACTTATGTAACAAATTGCTGTGACCGTGAGTCAAGTTGCACTTGAACAGTTATTCTCGGAAAAGGATTTATATGATCCTGAAGGTAATTTAACACACTAAGCCCATGTTTGGTCCCCATTTTTTATAACTCATTTTTAACCACACATTTACCCTTATCTTTTATCAACTTTTCAACCACAAATTTCATCATTTTTATTTTTTATTTTTATCAAATCTACTAAAAATCTAGCTTTTAGCAAAACCAAATAGGGGCTAAATCAGAGTGGTCTACAAGTATTGTGAGAATGCCATTTGTATGCAATTATGTGGCTTGTCGATCTAATTTCTTCATCATTTTTACTTTTTCCTACCCAAATCAATGACAGTGAAGTGATGTGCCTATAATCAAGATTCTTCTACATAATTATTTTGTGACTAGAAAGTGTGTCATTTTTTCATGGGCCTAGGTTTTCCCATGTTGAGCCTCGCCTATTAACAGAATATCCCATTTGTCAACGTTATAATTACTTACTTATTTACTGAAGGTTGAGTAAAATCTCAACTTCTGTGGGAAGAAAAATAAGATATTAGGTGAAGAGAATTGGGTAAATATCAAACTTTAGGTGTATTAGATGGAACCGTTTTTCAGCAATTATGATAGCCCCTTTCTAGGGAATGGTGGCCGATGAGGGACAAGGTGCAGATTTAATATGATACTTGTTGATCAGACTTTCTACTTGCACGATATGCTAGCACCAGATCCTCATCCAGTCCTTGAGTGCTTGCAGATACTCTGATATGATTGTCCAAACTTAATGAATAACTAGTGGAAATGCAGATACTCATTGAGATGAGTGATTGTATGTCATACTCCTAATAAAGTGCAAGCAATATAAAGGCAAAATTGAGTCAAGAGTATCTTTCTCCAATTTTGGATTTTGTTATTGAGTAATTTCAGCATATTAATTGGTTAAAAAAAATGAAGTTTGATGATTACTATTCACTTCTCCATCACTCATTTCTATTCGTTTATTGTTTATAAACACTTGGCATCATGCCTTTTTTTAGTTTTTGATACGTGCATCACAATAGGCTTCCATCTAGGAATTCTAATATCAATTGTTGCACATAGATTTTTGCTCCATCACTCATTTTTATTGTTTACTGTTTATAAACACTTTCCAGACAAACTCTTATTTAAAAGATTAGCCGGCAATGCCTTGTTTTTAGTTTTTTGATTCGTGCATCACGATAGGCCACCAGCTAGGAATTCTAATATCAATAGTTGGGCATAGATTTTAGTAATATTTCTCTATTGGTAACTTAACTCTGATTATAAACTGGAAATATAGATCCTGCCAGGTTGTACATTCTATAGAATGAAAGTTAAAACGTACTTATCCATGATAAGATAAACAATGCTTGTGTATGCACCTTGCTCAGTGATAAAATAAACCTCTCATAAAGATCATATTGTGTCATGCTGTTGAACCATGCTCTCTTCAAAAAATTCGACAAAAGGCATTGAGCAGATAATTGGATACAAAAAGGTCAAACATCCATATGACTGTCTAATTAAGTCTTTGCTTAACTATATATGCATGGTCGCCGGTAGTTTATTTAATCCCTCTTCAGTCACACATGTATATTTCATTGTTTTGGTCTGAAACAAGTATAAAATTGATTATCATGCCCACTTCTTGTGTTGGATGTGTATGAAGCTTCACAACCTGTTCTTTACAAGAAGTCCTGCCAGATATCTCTTTTTTTCTAACTATCAATAGGCTTCCTTATGTTTCCTATCCTTTCGTCTACACTTTTCCACTCTGTGCGTGTTATCTAAACTCGTTCATATGCACTTCATCAGACCTGGACACAGCCACTTGTTTTCATTTTTGGTTTGTCATATGATTGCATATTAGTACATGGTTCCTGATTGACTTATGAATGTCAATGCATAGGGTTAGATGCTCGTTGTATATGTCTGGGAGAATTACTTGCAGCAAGTGGAAGGTTTTCTGATTCTGATTCCAATACCCGGAACATTTGCAAGTCTGCAGTGTTAAGTGTATAATTTTATACAAAAACGTAGGAGTCAACTAAACTAAAGGTACAATCATCATATTGTGTGCGCTACTCATTAAATTTAGAGAACCAGAACGAAAACTCATGCATGATGAAGATTCTTGTTTTTATGTAGCTATGTCGTGAATTATAACTTCCTTATTGTCAACTATGCAGTTTTTGATGAGTGCATGACGACTTCCAGCCTTCTTCTGCTTTGTTAATGTGCCTGCTGCATGAAATATGAGTGTGTCGATTGTTTGATTATATATTCTTTTCCTTTCTCTCCCTCACACATGAACACTAAGATGCATTTGATATTTTGGTGAATTGATTTTTATTTTTTATTTTATTTTATTTTATTTATTTATTTTTTTGTTAGACTTGTAATTTTAACCTTTTTTATGCACTTGTACATTATGACAGCCAGTTGGCTTAGGAAAAATTTCAAAGTTGATCAATGCAGGGAAGATAGATTCTTCAGAGTTGATAACTATGAAAACTCTCAAGGCATGTATGAGTTTCTGATATGACTTCATACCTTGTATTCTTCAATTAGATTTATCTGATACTTCAGCATTGTTTTCATCACAATAGGATGCAGGGGCAATAGGGAAGCAAATTAGAGATGGTGTTCGACTGATGGGCCGTGGGTCTGAACATATACAATGGCCCATCCATCTTGAGGTAATCCCATTCTTCTGATCAGTCACGGGTTCATTTTATTATGATTCTCCATGGTCGAATCTGTTCTTTGCCAATCCACTTCAATTGAATATTATCTTTCACATTACACCTATGACCTATCGATCGGAGGAACAAGCATCTTAATTCATTCTCGGGTGCATTTATCATATCATGAAATTTCTTGTAACCTGGAATTGCTTATAAAATTATATTTACAGGTGTCAAGGGTCACCGTCAGGGCTAAAGCAGCAGTCGAAGCTGCTGGTGGGTCCGTAAGGAGGGTGTATTACAATAAACTGGGCTTCCGGGCATTGCTAAAACCGGAGTGGTTCGAGAAGAAGGGCAGATTGCTCCCTAAAGCAGCAAGGCCTCCACCAAAACAGAAAGATAAAGTAGATAGTATTGGACGTCTGCCTGCCCCTACGAAACCTATTCCTTTGACACCTGAAGAGAAAGAGCCAATGTCTGCTTAAACTACCTGAAGTTTGCTTAGATGTTGTAGAGCTTGATGATTGCCATACGGATAGATTTTGTTTTTAACCGTAAATTGAATTGCAGCCTGTCTCTGTCCTTGATTATGCTAGCTAATGGAAAATGAAATTTTCTTGTTTTGTTAGATAAGTCTCTGCAGCATTTTTTGTATGGTCTGGTGCATTACACGGCGCAAATATAGAGCTCGATGGTTTTCACTTACGGATGTTGCAATTGAGCCACATTATGCTCAGTCAAAACTACAATTGTTTCTCTCTTGATACCAACTTTCCTCTCTTTGA